TTGCTCATGAAGAGCGTCAGAGAGGAGAGCGATCAGGTGTTAGCCGCCAGGCTTTGGCGCGCTGTAGTAGGTGCAGAGAGACTGGCCATAACTCGCGTACGTGCAAGAAAGATACTCTAGGTACTGCTTAATCTATTATGTTAATATGTAGTAAAACAACTATATTGTGGTGGAACTACAGGCTTATAGAGGTGCGCAGGTTTGGTGGGGTGCGGCGCTCGCTTGCCTGCGGCGCTCGCTTGCCACATACGTTAGAAAAAAAAGGAAAGGCATGCAGAATAACTCACACAGGGCATTTTGTTGTCGATAAGCCTGAAAAAGAAAAGCAAAAGTACAGTACTTAGGAGCGAAGAACCAGGAAAACAAAACCAAACTTGGAGCCAGAAGAAAAAACAACAACAACAACCAAGCAGTGAGATTATGGATAGAGGGGGCGGGAGACGAAGAAGAACAAGCCAGGGAAAGCCATAAAAAAAAGGAAAGAATTGGATGAAGAAAAAAAGACTCAGTGTATAATGGGGAAACCCTTTTTTCCTTGATGATATAACCCCCCCCTTCCCCTTCCCCTTCACACAGTCTCTTTCCCTCTCTCTCTCTCTAACCCCAGCACACACTCAGACTCGCATTGTAACGCCCAGAAAAATGGTATACAACGAAGGGTTGCGCATTTCCCCCCCCCCCCAAAAAAAACAAGAATGAACAACAAGATAAAAAAAAAGGAATGACTCGGCCAGCGGGTTTTTTGCCCAATTCCCTTGTGTGAAAAAAACCCCCTTCCCCGCTGCCGCTGCGCTTTAAAAACTCATCAAATCATGGGTCATTTTTGATCGTCCCCAGCAGCTTTGGCCAGTTTTCTATATGCCCTGCATTTGGATCCCGCCACGTGTGTGTGTAAAAAAGGAAAAAAAAAGAGGGATGGTGGTATCAAGACACAACAACATCTTTCTCAACCCCTGCTGAAGCGTTTCTTAAGCCAGCTCTTGCGCTTTTCGCCTCCATTGCTACTATTCTTGGACAGCATTTTGGGCTTTGTTGGCTCGGGGCTGGGGGAGTCGGCAGAAGTCAGTTTTATAGGACCTCCTGCTCCGGGGGGTGAGGCATGTTTCGGGGGTTGCGGGGGCATGCCGTTGGAAGGAGGCATGGCGTGGTGCGGAGGGGGCGGCGGTGGCGCTTGCGAGTAGTTATTCGAGTCATTTCCTGCATACTCTTCCATGATGGGGCCCCTTCCAAAGCCATTGAGAAAGGCATATTGTTGCGACATGTCTTGGTGGGGGGGCTGGACGGGGATGCCGCGCTCAATCGAACTGTTGTCGCTGTTGGGGTCGCTGTTGTATGGACCGTCGCTATGGCTGCCGTTGGAGCCATTGGTATTGACCGTGTCGCGGGATTGCTGGTAGCCGTTTATGGGGTAGACGCCCTGCATACTCTGGCGGTTGTTCCATCCAGGGTCAGACTGCATGCGGTTTCCGTAGCGCATGCGAGGCGGCGGGCCGCCGCCCACAGGGCCGCCATTGCCGTAGCTATCAGAGTAGTTGTCGCGGCTGGGGCGGCCCTGGGAAAAGTAGCCGCTGTTGGTCGAGTAGCGGTTCTGGTCGTTGTTGTGTGCAGCTCCGCCGTAGTAGCTACTCCGCCGGCTGCCATAGCTGCTCATGACCTCTGTCTGGTCGGCGCGCACAGACTGGGATCGTCGCCGGTATTCATTGTCGATGGCGGCCTCGAAAGAGCGGATCGTGTCGAGCGGGCGCTCCCAGCGGGAGCGGGTGGGGTTGGAGAGATCGGGATCGACTGCGGGCGCGAGAGGTTAGAAGGCGGGTGGTTTTTCTTTGCCAACGAGGGCCCAACAGGACGAAGCCAGACAGACTACTTACCAATGGGGTTGCCTGCAGAGTCGGTATGCTGGAACCCGCGCAGGGACTGGAGCGTGGGCTTTTCGAGCGCAGCAGCGACTATGCAAAGGGTCAGCATAGGGCCATGACACGGAAGCGATGGGGCAACCGTGGGACGGGGACGCACTGGGCTGCTGCTCCATCATGGCGGCGTTTGGATTGGCCTTTGAATTGGGGTCGTAGTGGTCGCTGAACTTGCGCTCGTGCTTGGAGGCAGACTTGGGGCTCTTTGCAGGGTCCGCCGTCGAGGCGGGCGGGTCGCGACTTTTGTTGCTGTGGAAGCTGAGGCCCCGGGGCTTGTGTTGGGGTCGGTGCTCCATTATAGCGGAGTCTGGCGCGACAAAGGATTACCCAGTTTTGCTACTCTTTTCGGGGGTCGGGGGGGGGGCGGGCGGGTCGAGTGGGGGCAGCAGATGCTAGACAGGAGGATGCTTGTGCTTGTGGTGCTTCAGCAGGGCTGGCCGAACGGGTAGGACGGACCCAGGAGGGGGGGACGGGGGGGGGGGTGGTGGCAGAGAGAGGGCGAGGGTGGAGAATGGCGCGTGTTCACGCACGCAAAGGTGATCCCGGCGCTGGCGGTGGGTAGTGATAAGAGGCGACAAGAGGCGACGAGAGGCTCGGGCGATGACGGTGGCGGGCGCAAAAGCAAGAGCAGTGACTGCACTTGGGCGTAGTGTGCGTGGGTAGTGTGCAGAGGTTAGTGAGCACAGCACTGGGAGGCGTTGGCGGGTAAGACTTGACGTTTAGTATGTGGCCATTAGCTGGCCGGGCGACGCGCGGATGCGCAGACATGGACAAGAGGCGCCTGCGTCGGCGCGCCCCGGCACACGCACACACACACACGCTGTATCGCGACTCGTCATCAACGGCCATGGCCACCCGTCCCGATTGGAGTTGCGACCATGTGCGGCGGCAACCGATCCACGCGCTGAAACACCATCATCAGCGAGCGAGTGCGTGCATGGCCCATATGCAACGCCTGGTGTAGCTGACTCTCGCCCTCGCCCTCGCCCTCACCACCACCACCACCACCACCACCGCCATCATGATGCACCCGCTAGGCCTCCCCCTCCCCCTCCCCCTCCCCCCGGCCAACTCCTGTGCCTCCTGCCCATTCGCAGGGCACAAGTTTAGACGGGCCTTGGACATCAATAGTGTCGTCTGCCAGATGCGGCCCCCAGCCCCCGGATGATGTGTCCTATGTAGATAGCATACAAGCACCATTTCATTCTCACACGCAGCACCAGCCTCCTCCTCGCATGCCACTGCCGCGGTGCCCTGCGCCATCCGCCAATTCCATGTTACTATACTTTTTCGTTTCCCTTTTTTTTTATCCGCCTCGGAGCGGAAGACCAGAGAGTTCCGAGCACGAGCGGACTCGTCATGCGCCACCAGGCCGCTGGGAAACATCAGCAGCGGGCAAACGCAATCATCACGGCATGGCTGGTAATACTACTGCACACGGCCGGCACTAGATAGGTAGGGGGGGGGTGGGAGGCACAGCGTCAGCAGCAGCACAAACACAGACACACACAGACACACAGACACGGATTGGCCTCCTCTCGCAAAGGGACACTACACCACACCTCAGCTAGCACATAGATAGATGATGCTACTTGCAAGCAAGCCATTGTCCAAGGCGCAGGGCCGCAGAAAGTGGGAAGCAAGCGTACATGCATGCATGCATGCATACATAGACAACAACAACAACAACAACAATAAAGGTCTTGTCCCGCTAGCCGCATAGCCGCAGTGCAAGGGTGGAAGCGCCGATTTGGGCAAAGACACCAAGATGCACAGCCTGCCGCTTGTGCACACCAAACGCGCCAAGACGCTGCTCTGCGCCCGGGCCCCCATGATGACATCGACGATGCATGGGCCCTGTTGTTGTAGCCGACGCCGTCGCCCACCACCACCACCACCACCACTACGACCACCACCACGACCACCACCACAGCCAGCCTCTGCTTCGAGCACGTCTGGTTTCGTCACTTGGCCATGTTCGGTTTCAGACGCTTGTCCTGCATCTGCGCGCGCACTCACTCTCACACCCACACTCACCCTCTTACTCGCCCGCCCGCCTGCTTCACCGTCCGTCTTCGCTGCGTATCATGTCACCCTCCCTCGCCCGCCGTGTCGCGCCCATCACGTGTCTGACTCGGCCTTGGCGCCACCCGACGCTCCATCCCGCACCAACACTGCCACTACTCATGATGCTACTAATTGTAATCGCTCACATAGCCCTTGCTCAAACTTAATTTCCGCTTTTGATTATATCCGGTCCAGCCAAATGAAATGTTCCTTTTTTTTTGATGGCCCTGAACACAAACCATAGATAGAGCTAACATGACACATCTTCATCACCACAAAACACCGCCAAATCCACCAAATCTAACCACCACCACTGCCACTGCCACTGCCACTGCCACCGCCAGTCCACCATGCTCTCTAGCTCTGCGTAGGCATGTTGACCGCCGCCCGAGTCGCCACCGCGTCCTCGCTCCTCCACAGACTCGTCACCGTCTTTTGCTGCGTGTAAAACAGCAGCCCCGGCTTGCCGTAGAACGTGTTGGCTCCGCCGCCCGCAACCGACTTCTTGTTGCCCGTAAAGGAGAACATGGGAAGCTGCGCCATGTTAGCATCTCACCCTCTCTCTCCTAGCCACACCGCCTAGCCCAAAACTTACCGGCACGGGGATGGGCACGTTGATACCGACTTGACCCGCCTCAATCTCACGCTGGAAGCGTCCGGCAGTCGCCCCTGAGCGTGTGAAGATGGCGGTTCCGTTTCCGTACTCGTTTGCGTTGATCATGTCAATGGCCTCGTCAATCGTCTCGACATTCAGACACACCAGCACCGGCCCGAAAATCTCCTCCGTGTAGCACTTCATGTGAGGTTTGACATTGGCAATAATCGTAGGCCCAACCTATCCCATCAGTTAGTCAGACGTACCATGGCAGGCTTCCACTAGCACCACCACCACTCACCCAGTTGCCATTGGCGTACTTGTCAGACCGAGGCTTTTGGCCCCGGCCGTCGAGCAGAATCGTCGCACCTTCAGCTTCGGCGCTCGCAATCAAATCCTCAATTCTCTTCTTCGACTCCGGGCTGATGACGGGGCCGAGGTCGGCGCCCTCTTCGAAACCTCCGTTCATCGAAAGCGCCTTTGCCCGCTCAGCAATCTCGGGTACCCACTCCTTGGTCTCGCCAATCATGACTAACGTGCTCAGCGCCATGCATCGCTGGCCAGCTGCGCCAAAAGCCGCGCCCGCAATCGCATTGAGCGCGTGGTTCTTGTTGCAGTCGGGCAGCACAGCCGCGTGGTTCTTGGCTCCCAAGTTGGCCTGCACTCGCTTGCCCTGCGCAGATGCCCGTGAGTAAATGTACTCGCCAGCCTTGTTGCTGCCCACAAAGCTGATGGCCTTGATGCGCGGCTCGTCAATGATAAAGTCGACCGTCTTGGCCGCTCCGTGTACAATGTTGATGACGCCCGGTGGGAACCCAGCCTTCTCTGCAAGCTCGGCCAGAATCATGCACGCACCGGGGTCGCGCTCCGACGGCTTGATGACACAGGTGTTACCGACCACCGTGGCAATGGGAATGGTCCATAGAGGAATCATGGCGGGGAAGTCTGCGAGGGGGGGGGGAGGAGTACACGTTAGCAAAAATACCCCGTCCGCATGATACGTCCACGTCTGGTACTCACTAAAAGGGCAAATGGCAGCCACAACACCCAATGGCTCCCTGTAGCTGCGTGTCTCCATGTCCTTGGCAACCTCGAGCACCTCGCCCGTCATCTGCGTCGTGATACCGCACGCCGTCTCGGCCACCTGCAGGCCACGCAGCACATCGCCGCGGGCGTCGGCAAACGTCTTGCCCTGCTCGAGCGTGATGCTGGCCGCCAGCCGGTCCCAGTTCTCGCGGATCAGGTGTGTGTAGCGGAACAGGATCTGCTGCCTGGCTAGCAAGCTCGTCTCTTTCCACGGCTTGAAGGCCTTCTCGGCGCTGTCCACGGCCGCCTTGAGCTCCTCGTCGGTACTCTGCGGCACTCGTGTCACCAGGTTGTTGGTCGCTGGATCGTGCAGCTCAATCCATTGTGTTGCCTTGGACGCCACAAACTGGTTGTCCACAAAGTTGGGTGTATCCGCCGGCGACTGGATGGGCTCGTGGCTCATGGGATACGACTCGGCCGCGGCAGACGGCGGCTTGAGCTGTTGCGCCGTGGCATGCAGCCGGCGAGCAGCCACCTTGTTGTGCTGCATGGGCGACGACATTCTGCTGCACAAGGGAGCGGCGCGGACGAGCGATGACCGAGCTGTCAGTGTCGAGAGGCGTGCCAGTGTTCGGCGCGAGGCGGCCATGGTGCTCCGCGTCCAATTGCTGACCAGAATGCGGGGGGTGGAGAGGTGGCGAGAGTACGAGACTGAGACTAAAAGGAACCAAGTCTGCTATAAGTACAGCAGCTCAAGTAGCCCGACGCAATTGTATTCGAGACTAAGAAGATGCCCACGTGTACAAGGAAAAAAAAAACTACCTGTACCTCTCTCTCTCTCTCTCTTAAGGGAAACCAATTCCGGGCCACTTCACCACCACCCGCCCGTCGGTAGACAAGGGCCCCCGCAATCCTCTTCCACTTCCGAGGTCGCCCTGGCTATTCAAGGCTTATCCACCTCCGCGGCGTCTACCGCGCCTGTATGGACTGATGCTGCCAATCACACGTCTCCACCCACGATACGACAACACGCCCACATCCAATCACATGCCCTTGCACACATATACCTGACTGGTTCCAGAATTGCATTGCTTAATCACCCACGAGATCCGAATACACACAATACAGAGCGCCATAACCTCCAAATGATATCAACCACCTGCCTAAAATGCAATCGTGCCACGTCTGAATCTTCGTCCAAGACTGTGTACGGCACAAATATTTTTTCCACATGCTGCAATCTTTCAACAATCCATGTCTCCCCCGTCGACACCGCATTCCACCACCTACGAAGCATTTGATCGTGTGTTACGCTTGCTCGCCTCACCCTGCGCCTTTTCAGATCCGCTGGCGACAGCCGGCGCCGCCTTGTCCTTGGCCCCGGCAGCAGAGTCCTTTGCCTGCTTGGCCTGGGCCTTGACCTGCTCCTTGGAGGGAGCAGAACCAGACCCAACAAGAGCAGAGATGAGGATAGCGAGAATCGTCACGGCAATGGCACCAATGCCACCAGCAACCTCGGGAACAAACTTGATCGCCTCGACGGGGTCGCGCTTGGCAATGTCGATGAAGAGGTTAACCTTCTCCTTGACGTACAGGACTGGGTCGTCCTTGAAGACGAGGTCAGAAGGCGACTTGGGAGTGTCCTCGGGCTTGGGCCTGCTGGCCTCTTCCTCGGCCTTCTCAACAGGGCTCTTGAGGTCAAATGTCTCAGCCTTGAACTTCTCAGCGTCCTCAACAGAGTGGCCAATGTAGATGTTGTCGAAGAGGATGTCGTTGGACATGGTCCAGATTTCGAAACCAATCTATCTATAGTCAGCGACAAAGCCTCGATGCAACGGAACAAAGTGCACTTACAGCGCCAATGGGCTCAAAGTTGGCCGGCGTCTTGTCCTCGAAGTAGTCAGGGTTGGCAATCTTGCGGGGAGCCCAGACGCCCTTGTAGGCCGGGTTGTCAATCAGAGGAGCGGTCCACTTGCCCTTGTAGGCAGGGTTCTTCTTCATAGGAGGCTCCCACTTGCCGCAGCCAGCGACCTCGTCACACTTGGGGTTGGGAACAGTCGGTGGGACCCAGTCACCGTCCTCCTCGTCGTCCCAGTCCTCGGGCTTCTCAGCCTCTGGGTCAGGGATGGTCTTGGGCTCGTCCTCAAGCCAGTCGTCGGGCTTGGTCGCCTCCTCGTCGACAATCTCAAACGGCGCGTCCTCGTCCCAGTCCTCGGGCTTGGTCGCCTCGGGGTCAGCGATGCGGGCCTCGTCAACCCAGTCCTCGGGCTTGGAGTCCTTGGGGTCATCAATCTCCTTGGGAGGGTTGACCGAGGGGGTGAAATCCTCCAAGAGGGTTCCGTTGACCGAAGACTCGCCGTCGATCTTGATCTCGAACGTCTGGTCAGGCTTGACGATGAGCGTGTAGAGCGACGTCGTCTTGACGATGCGGGCCATGGGAGGGTTCTTGAGGTGCTTTTCCTCGTACTCGCCTGTCTTGGGGTTCTTGTGGCGGAAGATGAAGTGCACCTACAACGTCAGCCTCGAATTGGAAAAAATGGGAGAGGCGGCTTACCTTGTTGGTGGCACCGCACTTGTCAGGTCCAAACATGATGATGTAAGGAGAGGCGTTGGAGAACTCCTCGGCGTGAAGGGCGGCATTGTCCTGAAGGAGCTTCAGGTAGGCACCACCGCAGTCAAGACCGTCTGCGTGCGTGTTAGAATACCCAAGCTGCCCAGTCCATGGCGGCAAAACTCACTCTGAAGCTTGACTTCGTACTGAACCACAAGCGTCTTGTCCTTGTTGTCAATGACCTTGGGGAACTTGGCCGAGATGGCGTGGTGGGCAGCCTTGTCCTTGACAATCAGTCCCTTGTCGCCCTCCATGCCCTTGAACACCGAAGGCTCCTCGACGGCCCAGGTACCGACGTATGCCCACTCCTCCTCGTCCTTGACCTCCTTCTTTGCATGCGAGCGGCTCCATCGGGTTTCCCAGTCGTCGGTAAACTGCTCGAGGAAGGGAGCCTTGAGCTTTGTGGGCTGGCGTTTTTTGTTAGCATGGGGCCTTCTTGCGTAAGCAGCCTCAAAATATGACATACGGTAAAAGTAGGCTTTGAGACAGTAGCGGCAGCGGGTGAGGACTCGGCGTCGGGAGCGCTGGCGTCGTCTGCGCGCACAAAGGCGGCAGCGAGCGCAGCAGTAGCACCAATTGCGAAGCGCATTGTGCGTGGCTACCGTCTTGGGTAGGGCTGGGGACTTGGTTAAGGTTGGAGTGGAGGTAAAAGAAGGCTGGGGCGAAGTGGTGGATAAATAAATGCGGCCAGCGAAGCTCAAGGCCACGGTGGTCAACTTCAGGGAAGGTGGGCGGCGAAGCTCTCCACTCTTCTCGGTTAGTCGCCGTGTACCACGGACCCCTGTTAACGGCTATGGAAGCACACAGAAGAAAGCGCTTCACGCATTTGACAGCTGGCCTCTTGCACTGGCACGCCGACCCCGATGCCACAATTGCCCTGTGCAGGGCTGCAGTATTATTCTTCATCATCTATGCGCCCCTTTTTTCCATCCCCTGGCCCATGGCGGTTGGTCCTTGGCTGCGGAGTGCACTCACAGCACGCTCCGGGCATTGCCGCTAGGTCTAAGGTGCATGGCGCGACGACGACGACTACCAGGTGGCAGGTAGAGGGTTGTTCAGATTGCTTCTCAATGCTGCGCTGCCATGATACTTGGATGCAATAAGAGCAGTTGGACACGCCCAAAAAAACAGCGATTGATGTGCATATCTACCTCGCTGTGCTGATGTTCCCATTGAGATTACAGCAATTAAAGGTCACGCCGCATCCTGGCTGGCATTTGCCCCGGGACCTAGTCGCTTCGTATCGCGAACAATGCCTGTTATGTAAGCCGTACGACTGCGTGGTTACAGTAAGCACAACGCATGCAAATTGGTACCCAGGGCTCCGCTTTCATTATGCACCGTGTAGGGAATTAACGCATGTATGTATTTTTTTGGTTGTGAGAGAGCCATTTCTACACGGCTCACAAATGCATCCATAAGTGGCACTTTGAATCGAGGTATATCTCAAAACACCGCCGCCTAGCCAGGCCGTCCGGTGCGACCCGAATGTGTATGCTCTTTGCCCAAGTCCGGTCCGTATGAATAGTACACAAGCCCCCAAACGCCAGGCGCTAAAGTCAAAGTCCTAGTTACTCCATGCTGCATTCCAGATGACATGCCCTATATCGCGTGCAGTATTTACTGTGTCGACGACCCGGCCCAACAGTGAGGGCGGCAGGGGTTCTTCATCCTCGTCCCCAAACGGCATAAACATGCCCGACGGCGTCCTGCGAAGCCCACTGTTTGCCAGCGATGCTGACGACTCACTGCGTCGAAACGAGTAGGGGTCCGAGGCGGTTGGGGTGCTCGGCCGCTTTGTGCAGTATGTGCTCGAGGGATCAAAGAACTCGTCCTCGTCCTCGTCGTCATCCTCGGCAAGCAGAAAATTCCGCGACGGATTGGAAGGCTTCAGGGTTTCTGACGAGGGCGAGGGAGAGAGCCCGCACGGCTTCCAGAAGCCGAGGGAATGTGACTGCTGCGTATCGGGCACGTCTGGCGAGTCTGTCCGATACTTGAGCGTCGTCGACGGCAGCTTTGCAATGGTCTTGTTGTCACCGCTGATGCTGGCTGTGGATGCTGTCCGCGACAGCGGCTTCTTCCTACGCGACCGCTTCATCATGACGACGCCCTCGTCCGACGACGAGTCGTTGTCCTGGTCCCGGGCCCAGGGGTTGTGGTTGCAGTCGTCCTCGTCGTCGTCGGCGTCTTTGCACTCGACAGCGATGCATTGCTCTACCTTATCGTCAAAACGAATATGGCGCCTCTCCCCGTGATCTGGCGTGTGCAGCTCAGACGTGCAGCGCGACGAAAAGTAATCGGTACCCTCGGACAGCTGGCCACGGGACATGGTCGAGGATGTGGGGAAGTCGGGGGTCACATGGCCAATGATTGGTCGAGGCCTTCGCATGTCAAGCGTCACACCGGTTGTTCGCTGGGCTTGCACCGACTCGGCCGCCTGCTGGACTAGCGACGACGACGAGATTGATTTTTGCAGCATAGCTTCTGACATGCTGCGCTTCTTGAGAATTGGCTTTTTGACGCCATTGACGAACGAGTTGGTCTTGGACAGGCGGCTCGCCGGTTCCGAGTTTTGTTGTGAGCAGAAGCGGTTCGATGCAGGCTGCATTGGTCCATACAACCATGTCACATCGACATCTTTGAGCCTGGGCTACCGGTCAGTGTCGTCGCTTGGAAGAGCAGAAGAAAAAAAAACAGCGAGAAAAAAAAACTTGCAACTTGGGCGCACGGATGGGGGTGATGGACACCCCTGCTGTGGATGCCGATCGAAATAATCAAAACTCACCAATTCAGTGTCTCGGGCGACACCGTCTTTAGCTTAAACTGGGCCTTGGCCCACGTTCGCCACGAGGCATTTTCCAGCCTGGAACGCTCACCGTACACATTGCGGTGCTCGACAATGTGCCGCCACGAGGACCAGATGTCTTCTTCGCGCCACTCGTAAGAAAGATAGTCGACGTGATGTGAGGGCTCCTTGCGCACGGCCGTGTCATCCTCGGACATTGGCAGAGGGTCGGGCGTGGTCAAGGGCGTGTCGGACGAGAAAGCGTCCGTAGGCGAGGGCGATGGTGGCGCACCTTGGCGCACACCCGAAGCTGCGGGTTTGGACGAGGCTGCGTCTACAGCCGAGGTGTCGTGGGTGTGATGGCGTGCGGAGGAGCAGCGCGGGAGGGACAGGCCATCGTCGTCGCTGCTCGACTCGTCCGACTTTGTGTCGAGCGAGAGGCTGCTGGAGGGGGTCGAGTAGAGCGAGGATGTGCGCGAGGAGCTGACCGAGGGCGATCGCAGGTCGGGCAGCGAGTACTGGTTCTTGCGGAGCGGCGAGTAGGCGTCGTAGGCGAGCGACGACGACGAGGGCGAGCGTTGGAAGGGCGCGGCGTCTCGGGGCAGCGACAGCATGGCCGTCATGTCGGATGTGCGAGGCAGAAGGGCAGATTCAATGCCTCAATAGCAGTCACAGGCGGTGCCCAGCGGCGTCGACAAAGCTGGTGTGAGCGGCGGGCATCGACATGCGGCTTGTGGCGGCGCGGCGGTCAGGTATGTCTCGGGGAGGGAGGCGGAAGAGAGAGAACGAGGGGATGGTGCAGTGGGGGAGGCGGCGGCCGTCTCTTTTTTTTTCTCCGCGAGTGGTGGGCAGCAGGACAGGCCTTGTCGCTGCAGCCACTCGATAGCATGCGTCGGCGGCGGCGGACGGGCGGCGGCGGCGTGGGTTGTTGTTGTTGTCGTCGCCGTCGCCGCCGCCGTCGCAGTAGATGTCGTGTGTATAGTAGTAGGTAGGTAGGAGAGTGGGTGCATGTGTGGTGTGTATGGCAGGGAGTCAATGGAGTCAAGGCCTCTCTGGCGGCAAGCAGGGCGGGCGGGCAGCTGACGTGAAGGGCCTTTGCTGCTTGCCATTTGCCAAACGCGCGCCGGTCAGGGCCCCAGGCCCCCGCCCGCCAGACATCAAAGGCACCCTACCAGCGCCAGCGCCAGCACCAGCAACAGCACCAGCACGGCTGCGGCATTGGCACTGGCATGCTCGCCCGTGGCCACGCCGCCCCCCAGGCCGCCCTGGCACTGGCGCAGAGTCCCAGTCGCAGGCGCAGGCCCAGTCCCGGGCTTGCGGGGTTGCGGCTAGCCTGCTGCTGGTTGCGCCGGTCGTCATGGTCTAGGTCGAAGCTTTCCGCACTATTGCCATCCATATCCAAACCTTCAATTCTCCACTGCCTCGCCCGCCGCCCGCCCACCTCCTCACTACCACCACCGCCATCACCACGCCCCCAATATACAACCCCCACCACCACCACCAACCCCCACCCCCAGCCCACGCAACCCCCCGCCCGGTTGATCGGCATGCAGCCCAACAGATTCAAGACGACTCGCAAGCCTAGACCGTTGCCCGTCCCATATCCGCCTCGCCGCCCTCTGGCTGCCCGGGGATGCATGCCGGGCGTGCAGCGCGATGCCCTCCCCCCAAGTGAGGCGGCGCGGGGGTGAGACAGACGAGGGGAAGGCCGGGAGCGCCGCCTGCTTGCACTTGGGCGCGCGCCCTCGCTGCCACTGGCACCAGCAGCACCAGCAGCACCCGCACCCGCGCCGCCGTCGCGCGCCCTCTCCCTCTCCTGCGTCGACCCTAGGTGTACACCTACTCCTGCTCTGCTGGGCGCAAGGCGTGCGCGACCCACTGTGCGTGTGCCTGCACGCCCCCGACCTAGGTGTAGGCCCGACGTCTAGCTTCTCAACACCAGCCCGCCGCTCAACACGGTGCCGCGACGCCCATGCCGCAGGCGTGTTATGACGAAAACCGTCCACCGCCCTCGTCCAAACACGCGCTCCTCGGCAGCGCCCTCTGCCTCTGGGCGTACGCGAACCTGTGGGGAATGACGTGCCAGTGCTGCACCGCGACTTCAACAACAGCAACGCAGGCCCCTCGCCCAATGGCCCGGAAGCCTTCTTATCAGCGAGCCATTCTGCATGTTGCAGCAGTGTCCATGGCGCGATTGAGTTGCCTGATACATGTTTTTTCTCTGCGTGCACTAGAGGGCGCGCCCGCCAACCAGGACGGCTCATGGAATTGCCCAAAAAGGAAGCTCGCTGGGCCCACTGGCGTAGACAGACATGTGTGTAAGTAGCATGGCGGTGCTGCCACGGCACTCGTCCCGCACGCAGCTTGAGCCGCATGCTGTGCAACACGCTGGGGGCGAGGGGGAGGAGCGCTCTGTAGCAAAGCTGTAACCTGGCGGCGGCCGTTGGCAGCCCGTGAAACGTTGTTACATACACGCATACGGCCGCTTCCGATGCCCATACGTGCGTACGTACACAGACCGCGCTGGCCCGCTTCTCCCCAGAACAAGACGTTTCAGCCAATTATAGCCACTGCGAGGGACCCACTCCACTGCCACCCCCAGATCGTAGATGCGCATCCACATGCACATGCGCGTCTATGTAAGCAGAAGTCGAGGCACGTAGATAATTCGCCAGGCAACCGTTGGTATTGGCATAAACGCTTTGTCCCGCGACACACAGGGCTATTGTATCCACACGTGTATACGCGCAGATGCAAACGCGCCGGCGCATCATCACCAGGCCAATCCCCCCCTCTCGCACTCGACACACGCACACTTGCACCTCGGAGCTGCTGCCACTCGCTTCGGATATATCTCTATCTCCGCCTGGACGCCCTCCGCGGCACATGGGCGGCTCGATCTAACCGCCAACTCTGCAGGGATCTCGCCCAAGTGCAACGGACGCCTTCTCGGGCGTCGTGACTGTTGAAGCCCCGATTCGCGCGACACTCTGCTATTTCCTAGTACCTGCTCGTGTAACAAAGGCCATGGTTGCAGCCCCGTGCGCTGCTATATAACATGCCACTACCGTGTCGCGCTTAACGTTTCTTTTGAACTCGTCCCTCGATTCGCCCGCCCACCATGACCGCCTCGCACGATGCACTCGCCCAGCCTGGGGCAACCTTGCCAGACCCAAATGCTCCGCACCCGGACAAAGATGCCGACGCCCTGGCTCCGCCGACCGACCGCACTCTTGCACAACAACATGGCACACCAGGGGAAACGCCCCATCAACACACACACGACGACAACCATGCGCCCGCCGACGGCACTGGGCCCCCGCCCCCCGCCCCCGCCCCCGATGACGACCGCCCACAACGGACAAAGTTACAGATCCTCCTCATCATGTTTTCCTTGGCCGTCGCCGTCCTGCTCGTGGCCCTCGACATCACCATTGTCACGACGGCGTTGCCCACCATCGCGGAAGAGCTCAAGAGCGCATCAGGATACACCTGGATCGGCTCTGCATACCTGATTGCCCAGTCAGCCGCCACGCCCATCTGGGGCAAGGTCTCGGACATCTTTGGAAGGAAGCCTATCCTACTGCTTACCAATGCTATTTTCTTTTTGGGCTCGCTCCTCGCCGGAGTATCCGTCAACATGAACATGCTCATTGCCGCCAGAGTCGTACAAGGCATTGGCGGCGGTGGGATTGTCACGCTGGTCAACATTTGCATCTCGGACCTCTTCTCCGTCAGAGACCGAGGCGCCTACTTTGGCGTCATTGGTGGAGTATGGGCATTGGCAAGCTCGCTGGGCCCTGTTGTTGGAGGCCTGCTCACCCAGAAGGTTTCCTGGAGATGGTGCGTGCCTCCTACACCAAGCAGCCACGTGAAACATGTACTGACTTTGCCCCCCCTCACTGCAGGTGTTTCTACATCAACCTACCTTTTGACGGAGTTGCCTTTCTGATCCTCTTCTTTTTCCTCAATGTCACGACGCCCAGAACGCCTCTGCGCCAAGGCCTCAAGGCTGTCGACTGGCTAGGCTCAGTCACCATGGTCGCGGGCGTCACCATGTTGCTGCTGGGACTGGAGTATGGTGGCATAACACATCCTTGGGACTCTGCAACAGTTCTGTGTCTCATCATCTTTGGCGCAGTCATGATAGGCGTCTTCTTCCTCATCGAGTGGCGCCTCGCACCCTATCCCCTGATGCCCCTCGAACTCCTCTCCAAGCGATCCAACCAGGCTACGCTGGCTACTTGCTTCTTCCACGCCTATGTCTTTATCAGCGGCAGCTATTTTCTTCCCCTCTACTTCCAGGCTGTCCTGGGCGCCACACCCATACTGTCGGGTGTCTATCTGCTTCCAATCGCCTTATCCCTCTCATTTCTGTCGGCAACCACTGGCATTATCATCAAGAAGACGGGCCAATATCTGCCTTTGATTTGGTCTGGCATGTTCCTGATGACGTTGGGCTATGGACTTTTTATCGATTTGAACGTCAATTCGTCATGGGCCAAAATCATCATCTACCAAATCATTACTGGCATTGGTGTCGGACCGAACTTTCAAAGCCCCCTCATTGCGCTACAGAGTCTAGTGCCAGTAAGTTTCTCCACCCAGCACCCCCGCTCGCTTAGGCATACTTCCTACAGGTATACAGCAGGCGGGGTTAAAGTTCCATATCTGCCTTGGATCATGGCCGCCACCACTAGTCCGTCAATGCTGACATGCTTTGCAGAAACGCGACATTGCTACCGCTACCGCCACTTTCGGGTTTATCCGCAACCTCGGATCAGCCATTTCGGTAGTTGTCGGAGGCGTCGTGTTCAACAACCAGATGAAATCAAAACAACCCGAGCTTGCTGCTTCCCTCGGCCAGCAAGCTGCGTCAGCGTTCGGCGGAGGTACTGCGGGCGCCAATGTCGGCCTGGTCAAGTCTCTACCTGACTCGCAAAAGTTTGTCGCCAAAAAGGCCTTTGCCGACTCGTTGAGTACCATGTGGATTATGTATGTTGCATTCTCCGCCGTCGGGCTTGCGATCAGTTTTTTGATCAAACGTAACACGCTTGATAAGCATCACGAGGAGACCAAGACTGGGCTTGAGGTGGAGAAGATGAAGAGGCTCGAGAGGGAGGCAGAAAGAGCAGAAAGACGAAAGAAGAGGGCCAGTAAGGGGTCTTTGCCGATTGACTCCGAAGCACAATCAACCGATATTGAAGCTGGCCAGGAAAAGGAGACGGCAGCATAATGGTCTTATTCAGATCCGGTTTGCATTAGCGTTGCATCCACCATGGCATACATTTCATGCACGAAAAGTCGTTTTACATTTGACATACTAATTCAAAAGCACTGTACATAGGTAAAAGTTGCATACAGCACGATGTCACGAATATGAGCTCTGGCTCTGCAAGACGAAATGAAAAGTCATGTCCGTCCACCTAAGTTTGCCCGCAGCCTTCTGATCAGGCGCTGTACTATGCAGACTCTTTGTCCCAGAACCCCTTGAATACGGTCGCGTCAAGAGAACAAAGCAGTCATGAGTGCGCATTCATGTTTTCCATGCCACAAACGCCATGGACCCAACAAGACAGTCTTCACTGTCCAACAACAATTACAACACCCGTACATATCCGTGTGTAGCACCATGTCTCTCTCTCTCTCTCTCTCTCTTTCATGCTCCTTCGTAGCAAAAATGTGTTATTACCGTCTATACATCTTCATGGGCTGCGGCCACTCGGCGTTATCCAAGACGCCCGTGCGATACTGCAAGGATGCCTCGTCACACGCATATTCCCACGACACTGGATACAATACTGACGGCACACTTGCTAGAGAATCACACGACAATTTCCCCTCTACCCCGCGAGTGAAAAAGCATATGGATACCGTGGGTTTGGACAAAGAGCACCGCTTGCATCATCCGTTTCACACCATCAGGCTGGAGCACTTGTGTGTGGGCTGCGCGCGGGATAGGGAAGACAGGCTCCGCGTGCTGAGTTTGGGGATGACGACGGTGAGGTTTGATGTAGAGAAGCGGTTGTATAGGTATCAGGGCGCGAGTAAAGTCGCCTCCGAGAGACAGGATTGGGGAGGAGGAGGGATGGTTGGGGGATGGATGGGAGGTTGGAGTATGAAAGTCGGTACTGCAGGGTTGAATAAGTAATAGAACATATTAATCCAGATTCAAGACATGATTAACACTTTCATTGATGGTCCAAAAAAACTGTGAACGTATTATGGTTTTGGGGACATATCAAGCAAACGTCGCCATGCCCAAGAGTGGTGATGCCATGTCACGTGCGCCTGCCGCCAATCGCAGCTCCGACGATTCCAAGCTCACCAACACCACCGCTCGCGCGCCTCCACACCACCGCCGACGCCAGTTGCCGTACCGGAACCACTCGAACTGCTCGCTCCAGGGCATTCCCAATACACCGACGTGACGAATTTGTCCGCGCACACCTCTCCGCCGCCGCAATGCCGACGCCCGAGTCCGAACTCTTCCTGGCCAAAAAGCCAAAGGTTGCGCCAACATTTGAGGGCGTCGATTACGACGACAACACGGCGCTCAAGGCTGCACAGGATGCCATAATCAGGGAACAGTGGGTCAAGAGCATGATGGCGAGGTTAGTGCGGGAGGAGATGGGCAAATGCTATCGGAGGGAGGGAGTCAACCACCTGGAAAAGTGTGGACATTTGCGAGGTACGTCGTTCCATTGTGATACTTGTTCTTTGGGATGCTTGGGCGGGTGGAAGAAAAAGACGTGGGACCGAGGAACGAGAGCATGGTTGCAAATGCCACTTCGCGAGTGTAGAAGACGCATATGGGAAGCACGGCTGACAGTGGCTCTACAGAGCGATACTTTGAGCTCCTCAAGGACGCAAAGGTCAAGGGATATCTTTTTGCGCAACAAAACTACATCGACGATGCGCTCAAGCGATAGACGGATCCGCAACGGCCGATGGGTATTGGCACGATTATATGAATGCCGGGCGACTCGTACACTACCCTGCAGCAACAGCTACCAGCATGAGGAAAACGCAGAGAACTGATTTCTGGCAATCGACGAGCACCTTGAGGAGAGATGCGACAGTATTCTTGACAGGCGAATCTGTACATATGCGTGCCGGATGAGAGGCTGATGTAGCACGAATATAGGAACCATGTTTACAATTGCAATGGTACAGTCGACCTTTGTTTGAACTGACGTGAGTCCAAAAGCAGCATACACACGGCGTTGAGCCTGGCTAGACTGTTGGCTGCCGCAACGCCCGGTCACGGCATGATGAGGCCAAGGCTAGCTCACTCAACCCCGCTACCACTGCGTACCTGCATCGCTCCCTACAATCGCAACGACGCACACCACGATGCCGTTTCCGTTCGTTCTGCCGACTACGTCGAGTATATCCTTTATCGAATACTATAACAGCAGTACACACCCGTCACTACCAAACTGCGCGACAACTGCACGAGGCGTCCTTCGCGACGTGCTCAAGCGACACAAGCGTATACCGCCTTCGTCACAAGCATCCAATCTTTCGACGGTGATATCCGCACTCAACGGCTACCTGCCATATCTGTTTGCATTGGATGCGGGCCTGAGCGGTGCAAGCTGCGCAGGAGAGGAGATTGACCTGGTCTTGGTCAAAGAGCTGGAGGTGGAATGGCGCTCGACACTGGGAACGTCAATACCAGGGCGTGAGCCTGCGCGTGTCAAGGTCAAGAGTCTAGATAGCGAGCTATGCTTTACTTTGTCGACGCTGGCCTATGTCTACAGTCTCCAGGCTCGAGCACAACTACACACACTCTACAATGCAACCCTGCCGTCACCCGAGCAACGAGCAACGGCAATCAGCACTGCCATGAAGCATTTTCTGGAAGCAAACTCGATACACACATATCTGTATAATCGCTCGGGGCAATGCAATTCGCAGCCTGCAGCGGTTGACATTTCGACGGGGGTGCTGGGGGCGCTTGCGGAGCTCACCATGGCCGAAGCCACGCTCATCACGGTGCTGAAAGATGACCCTTACCCAGCTGTGGTTGTAGAAGACAGGAACAAGCAGAGCAAGGACTGGATGTTTCGAGGCGTCGAGATACCCAAAGTCCGCGCGCACCTGTTTGCCCGTCTGTGTCTCGCGTCTGCTGAGCACGCTGCAAAAGCGCAAGCCATGTTTGGGCGGTCCCCGAAGATCAGCGACGATTTACTCAAGTACGTGGATGACCTGCGGCGGACGGCAAAGGGCAAGGCCTGCCGTTTTCTTGCTTGCGATGCCGAGGCTGGTGGCAAGACGGGAGAAGGCATTGCGTGGCTACGAGGGGCCAAGAAGGAGCTGGGTTTCACGGCATTAGGGGCTGAGGAGGACAAGAAGAGTTCTGGGTTTTCCAAGCTGAAGAAAGAGTGGCAAGAGAAGCGAGAGGACCGCAAGATTGAAAAGGGCGGAGACTGGGGCACTGATGCAGGCAAATTCGAAGAGGGGCGCATAGTGGATATGCTGCTGAAAAAGTGGGAGAAGCAAAACGACACTGTATGATTTTTTTCCCCTTGTGACGAGACAGAGAGAGTTTACTGACGGATTCAGGTGGGCGTCCAACTCATTCCGCCATCGGAGCCACTGCTTGCAAGCATGCCGTCTGGGCGAGAGTACCACACAACAAAGATGTTTGTTGTACCGGCACTGGAGGAGGTGGCGCTGGTCCGCATGAGGGCGCCGCCAGACCCAAGTGAAGTGTTTGAGGGCAACGAAGAGGACAGCGCCGACGAAGAGGAGCGGAATGCTCCCGCTGGAGCGTTTCCTGGCACGAAGACAGACTATGCCCCGAACACGGGCTACTACTGATAGGCGAGACGGCGGCATCCTTGGCAACAGATTTTAATATCCGTCACGCATGACTTGGGCAATCTTCTGCACTTCGTATACAGGCTGTCTTTTTTTTCGTCCACGTACGTAGCGTGGCACACGCGACTTCCACAAGGTTCCGAGCCACTCGTTGCATCGTCTCTGAGCTGACTTGTGGCCATTGAGTGAACCGGAGGAGGCGAGGGCAGCTTATCGCACGTAGGATGCTATGCGCAATCCCGCGCGCAAGGAGTCATGTGGTTTGAGAGCCACATCTTGTCACGCCGGCTGCCTATGCCCGTTGCAGCAGGTCCAGCCGTGCGAGTGTATACCATGGTCTTGGGTTTGCGAGACGCTACCCTGTAGCAACGGGCGCGCAGGCCAAGGTCGCATGTGTATCTATGTTGGTTGAGATATCGGAGCGGCTGTGTGTCAACGCGGGCCCAATCAGCTCCCTATACATAATGTGTTTGTTCAATCTTGGGGGTTCGTGTAGCAGGGCCTTGGTGCCAAAGCTTACCCGGCTTGTTCGTCTTAGCTTGGGGTTTTGTCGGAGAGTATGTGGGTTGTGATCGGTGTGCGTTGAAGTTAGAATGGATAACCAGGCAAAGACGACCACCGACTTTAACGTCATCCCAGCCTAATTTTCGCACCTTTGTGTATATATGTGTGTGTATGTTTCTTTTAACGTATATATACATACAGTGCTGTATTAGGCTTGTATATCCCTCCCCCAGCGCCACGAAATCTCCAGAGAAGCTTAACGTTGCACCTCCACTCAGACGAACGCATTGCACGCGCGCCCCATGAATGATAAGGCAGAAGGAAGAACAAGCTAAACCCGCCTTGGGCCGAAGAACGACCCCCCCTCCAACCACATCTTCTAGGGTACTGATAAAGAGATAATCCCCATTCCGCCACATCATTCGCTGCCGAAACTGCCTATCTGGCCTCCGCATGCGCCCGCACCGCCGGCCACGGGGTGCGCTGCTGATACACATAGTGCTACGCCACGAGAGGGAATGCGGAGACGGGCGGTACACCAACAGGCCAGGGCAAAGCGACAGGCACACCCACACACACATGTGCATGTATCCACGGTTCTGCGGGTGATTTGACATGTGTTGCGTCAGGCCCGATGCAGGCAGGGTATTCACATCTTTTACTTACATGTACAAGCTGCATATATATCTATCCCTTCTCGCTGTCTACAGGCACGGGTGGATGAGCAGGCGCGCTGCAGAGGCTACTTACATGCTGGAGTAGCTATTTTTTTTCCTTCCCCCCTACTTGCTTATATTACCGGCGGTTGTTACACATGGTGGTGGCAACGACCTGGTAAATCCTGTTTTTACTCCTAACCTCTTTTTTGGCCAGACCTCCCTTACTCCTCCTTCCCCGCTCTTCCTCAACATTCGGATCCAGGAGTCGAGAGTTACGATATCCGATTAACTGACTCGGACTTCTGCTAAAACAAAATGTCCACATCTCAACAACAAAAACACTATGGCGGCCACACGGTCGCCGAGGAGCCCGTGACATCGGTGCTGCCCGGCGGCGACGTGCCGTATGACCCAGACCACGAGTTCAATTCCGATGTCGAGGTGCTTGCGGCGCTGGGCTACAAGTCCGAGTTCAAGCGCGAGTTTACGCCTTTTACTACGTTTTGCGTCAGCTTTGCTATTCTGGGCTTGCTCCCGAGTTTTGCTTCGACTATGCACTTCGGCATGGGGTATGCTGGCACCGCGGGCATGACTTGGGGCTGGATGGTCGCCATGGTCGGTATCCAGAGTGTGGCGATGAGCATGGCAGAGCTGTGCAGTAGTATGCCGACCAGCGGTGGCTTGTACTACGCGTCTGCTGTGCTGGCGCCAAAGGGTTGGGGCCCGTTTGCTGCGTGGATCACTGGGTGGAGCAATTGGCTTTGCCAAATCACTGGTGCACCTTCCGGTTAGTATTTTTTCTTGATATCAATACGTGGGGAGACGGCCTGTTGAAAGGCGGCGTGCTGACGGGTTTCCAGTGAACTACGGAACGGCGGCTATGATTCTGGCGGCGGCCAGTATCAGTGATCCGACATATGTGCCGACAAACTACCAGACGTTTCTACTGACCGTCTTGATTATGATTATCCACTCGGTCATCTCGTCCATGCCGACGTGCTGGCTGGCGCAGTTCAACTCTGCGGGCTCGACCTTCAACTTCCTCGCCCTGGTCGCCGTCATCATCATGATTCCCGCTGCGACAGACCGCACTGATCGCGGGCTCCCGCGATTCTCCCCTTCCGGCGAGGTTTGGGGCACAATTTTCGAGGGGACTTCGTTTCCAGCCGGTATCACGGTGCTCATGTCGTTTATCGGTGTCATCTGGACCATGTCTGGGTACGACGCGGCGTTTCATCTGGCAGAGGAATGCTCAAACGCAAACATTGCTGCCCCGCGCGCCATTGTTATGACTTCTGCCACGGGTGGCATCTTTGGCTGGTTTCTGCAGCTCGTCGTCGCCTACACCGTCGTCGACATCCCCAGCGTGCTTGGCTCGACGCTTGGCCAGCCATTCGCCGCGTACCTGATGCAATGCATGTCGCAGAAGTTTACGCTCGCCATCCTCTCCATCACAATTATCGCTGGCTTCAGCATGGGCCAGGGCTGCATGATTGCCGCAAGTAGAGTTACGTTTGCGTACGCGCGTGACGACTGCTTCCTGCTTTCCAAGTACTGGAAGCAAGTCAACCCGTATACCCAGACGCCTGTAAACGCCGTGTGGTTGAACTGCGCCATTGGCATTCTCTGCTTGCTGCTCATCTTTGGCGGAGAACTCGCCATTGGAGCTTTGTTTTCTATTGGCGCCATTGCAGCGTTTACGTAAGTTTTGGCTCTGTGATACTACCTGCTGGATATCTAGTTTGCTAATATACATCTCGCAGCGCCTTTACCATTCCCATTTTCATCCGCGTCTTCCTGGTCGGCGACCGCTTCAGGCCTGGGCCATGGAACCTGGGAAAATATTCTGTTGTCATTGGCACGATTGGCTGCAGTTTCGTCGCCCTCATGATTCCTATCCTGTGCTTTCCCAGTGTCACCGGCTCACAGTTGGAGTAAGTTACCCCCATTGTTCCTCCACTATTCGAATTATAAATCTAACAGCCCCTTTCAGCGCAAGTCAAATGAACTGGACGTGTCTTTGCTACGGCGGCCCCATGTTCATCGTCATCATCTGGTGGTTCGTGTCTGCCCACAAGTGGTTCAAGGGCCCCAAAGTCAACATTGAGCACATGATGCATGACCCTAAGCATGTCCTTGAGGGGCGCAGTCCATCAGGCGATGAGGGTAGTGAGACAGTCGGCATTATACAGGGGAAAGAGTTCGAGGCTACGAAATGAGATGGAGACTCGTAGAAGACAAAAAGTGTCGAGGAAGTCTTTTCATACCATATGTATTTAGTAGCTGCAATGTTATTTTATTCAATTATTCAACATTGAGATCATCTATACGCATGGTTGATGTAGCAACGAGAATTGTCTGTGATCCTTGTCTACTCTCTATCATAATCGCTTATCGGTGGTACATGGCTATTGCTTACTTACTTTTGTTGAGCTGGTGGCTTGTTGCCTCGGCTGAGCTGCATTCGTTGCTGCTGTGGCTTTGCAAAGGCACTATTCTATAGCTGTCATGAGGTACTATCCGTCTCAAAGCAAGATGATGCCAAATAGGGCTCGATAAATTTAGGAATCATAGCTTGTAGTTCGGAGAATGACCAAGCAAGATTCGGACTCTGGAACCAATGTCCGTCCAAGCGTGCCGAGCCGCACGGTACAGTGGGCTGGATTCACTCTTTGGAGCCTCTCTTTCTAGGAGTTCCGAGTAGATAGTTCTAGATTCCTGCCCAGGCCATTGATGTAACCATTGGGCGGGGCCAGCTGTGTTTCGTCACGGGGACTAACTACTAACTAGCGTAACGTTGGTTCACCGAATACGAGCTCCTCTATAGAACCATTAACTACTACCTGCACAAACGTTACAACGACCCTAATCATTGAATCACAACGCTGATTAGCGGAGGCTTAGACCCTTCAATCAAAACATTGGTTAGCCCAGGCTGAGCCAGCTACATGTATGCGCTCAGCCTCAGCTGAGAGAGCCGCGTCCTGCACAATAGATGCAACAGATATTAGACTTCTGCTAGCTTGAAACCCTGCCAACATCTTCACCAATAAGTCTTGTTATAGCAACCTGAATCCAATCTAGAAATCCATCTCCAAGTCCTCTCCACGATGGTTGAGCGTTTTGCAAAGTACAACCCGATTGGCGGCGCCATGTCGACTCCTCTCTCAACATCTTCAACTGATTTGACCGACTCTCCCGCCAAACCAATTAATCGCCGAAGGCACCATGGCCGCTTGTTTTGGACCGAGATCTGTTGGCGCTTGATGGCGACTCTCATCTTTAGCATTGCTATCACAATCATCCTTTACAGCTTCTCGCTAAAGGGCATCCTTAGTCGTTGGGAGAAACGCTGGTCCAATGCACTGGCCATTTTGTTTTCGTCGCTGGTCAGCTTGAGCACGGGTTCGCTTCTGGGCTTGTTGGGCACCATGCTTCGTTGGCCTTTGCTGGCACGCAAGCTGCACACACCAGTTGATGTATGACGATCCTACGATACATGTATCTCTATATGCTAATTCCTTGATTAGGTCGATTTGATTCTCGGAATGTACAGTCCAACGGGGGCCCTTAGGCTCATCTGGGTACATACTGTTCATAAGCGGAAGTGGTGTTTTACCACGGTGGTTGTTCTGGTTTACTTGCTCGCCAACATCATTGGTCAACTTAGCGTTGCTGCATTTGGATTGACCTTTGATTTGAACCAGCAGCCAGGGATAGAGTATCCTGCCAGTATAACCAATTGGAACACAACCGACTGGTATAATGACACCATGCTCCAGACCGCGGATGATGAATATGGGTTTCTTAGTCAAAATCTCCGTAAGTCCGATTATGTCGGTGGAAGTATATGATTGATGACAAGGACAGAACGTATGAATCGGTACGCAACAATAGGCCTTTCGAACGTGCCAGGTGGCGACTTTGATTCAAAGAACATATCGACTTATAATGCGACGAACATCAATGGACATGGCTTGAACCGTATGATTAATGGGGATAGAGTAACTTACTCGTACTACTTGAAAGAGTACCGCGGAGAAGAAGTTAACTCATCCAAAACCAATGTACTTCATAGTTCATCCAAATGTATTGGGGAAACTGTGTCGCGATCTCCAGACGGTGAGATGCAGAGATATCCCGGTAAACATAACCCCCAACTCGCGTATGCCCCAAGGCTACTGACCAAAGCTCATGTACTTAGGTGGGGATACTACTGATGAGACATTCATAACCGTTCTGAAAAATATTTTGAATATCTATCAAGCATCTCAAGATGATATTATATGGACAGCTCCGCTGCATTATGGACGATTGAATGAAGGATCAGAATGTGCAAGAACATGTAAGGACTATCACCCATTCTATAATCATCGGGTTCTCACAATAGAAAATTAGACATTTACACTGAATCCTATGAGGGTGATGCAGGACGCAATCGTAATGTGTCGCTCTTCCAATGCGATACATGTACTAGCCACAACACCAGCATACCGGGACTCGGGCTACTCGAATTATCTCACAGCACCACGCACAACATTTCAAATCTTGTCCACCGAATTAGTTCCTTTGACCGTGTGTGGGGACCAATGGAGGAGGGCAGTCATTATACTGTCAGAGCCTACTCTGGCATGAACAAGAACGAACACTTTGCAAACTACATCAACGAGGTGGTTAAAGGTGGATACGAAGAACTTTATCCAGAACTTGGTATTCCAACACATGCCAAGCTGCATGCTGCACACCTCGCGGCGCGTCTTCCTCTTCTCGCCGTCATGGGAGCTGACATCCAGCTGCCAAGGATGACCCGAATCCCAGGTGCATCTGAGCGGCGATTTGTAAATGTCAGACTGAACGTCGACCTCAAGAAACCAATCGAGGTTCTTGTGGGTATTCTCGCAGGCCAGATGCTGGCCATCGCCGTTGTTGTTTTCTATTGCAGGAAGGTGTTCATACGGGACTATGCAAGCCATCTTTCTGTTGCCAGGTTGCTGAAAACGACCATGGAGGGCGTGCAAGGCATGAGTACACATACCGGTGAGGAAATTACCGAATATCTGGACAGCAAAGGTGTGATGATGAGATATGGGACGCGGCGAAAGGACGACGGGGCTTTGGAGGTAGATCTGTGCAACGATGTCGAGAATGACTTTCCAGACGCTATGTATGGATAATAGTGTTCTACTCCTTATTATCATTACTGCTATCTCAGACTCATAATGTACAGAGGGGTGACACGAAAAAACGTCACTCAAAAAGTTGTTATTTTAAAACTTTGATATCTAGCTAGAAAAAATAGCTAAAAATAAACGGATTGCAGATTTAGAAGGCCAAGATCTCCTGTTTTAGCATAGTGAACCCACTATCTGCTTAGTCAGCAGCCCTGAGCGAACAAAAATCCCCAAACTAGAAGCTTGAATACATCTAAACTAAATATCTAGATTACTCTATTGTTTTTATATAAAAAGGTCTAAGTCTAATATATATTATAGATCTATCTTTAATCTCTAAGCTCTGACTGTTATAGTATATCTTTACTAGTTAGATCACGTGATATATAGAAGAGTCTGATTTTTTTTAGAGTATATTTATTTCTCGCTAAGAATAGAAGCTAATATTTAGTGTACCAGCGCTTAGCTTCTACTATAGCTTGCCAACGCCTAGGTAGAGATAAAATACAATTATCTATATCCTGTTGTGGAATAGCTTGCCACTCTTCAAAAATAGCCCTAGTAAAAGCCGCTATACTCTTTTGGTTATTACCTAAGCCTAAAAAGGATCTAGATCTTTTAGATAAATGGTTTTTAAGTAAACTCCACACATTTTCTATTGGATTAAGATCTGGACTGTAAGGTGGATGAGGGAAGACTTCAATTGAATTTCTTTTAAACCAGCTGAAAACGCTTTCAGTAGTATGCATTCTGAAGTTATCCTGCTGAAACTTCCAGCCTAGATAGTAGTTACTTATATCTATAATATATCCGAATTTGGGATTTATAGCTCTCTAATTAGGTGTGCTAGATTAATTCTTAGATATAAAAATATATATATTACTTACCTGGTTTTATATTAGGCTTTACTTGAGGTATTAAAACCTTACGGATATATTGGTGATTATTGAAGTTTGGAGAAGAATTTGGAGCCCGAATTACTACTAGATCAGATCTACCACCTATCCAAATTGCTCCCCAAACTTGGATAGTAATATCTCTAGCTATAACACTATTAGTAAGCAAGCTAAAAATCGATTAAAATATTAATAAAATACTAGACTAAAAATAGATACTTTTAGCCTATTAGGATTTTTTTTAACTTACATCTTGTAAGAGGCTACGCCTAAAGTGTGTGTGTGATCGAGTATGTCTATACGACTACCTAGACTTCAAGAAGCTTGAAGTCTTGTTACTGCCTTTTTGGCTATGGATGGCGTAAGTAGTCGTACGCTCGGCCCGTTGGGCCCGCCCATCACACATCTATTGGCTGTAGAAACTTGTTCTCGACCTTGGCGCTTATTTTGGCGTTTTCTTACATATTCTCCTCTATATCCTCGGCCTCTTTGGATTGCTGACTCATCTGAAAATATTATCCTATCTAATCTAATATTAGATAGATTTTTCAGCATATCCTTAGCGTATCTTAATCTATTTTTAGCTTTTTCTTTGTTTAAAATTGATTTTTTCTTTGCAATATTAATAGAATAGCCCTCTCTTTTTAAAAATCGCTGTAAAGTTCTAGTTGAAATATTGACGTCATTTTCAATTAATAGTCGGCGATTTGTTTTTTTAGGGCTCCTAGTTAAGTCTCTATTAATAGATCTTCTATCTCTTTCTGAAAGCTTTCAAACTCCGCCTCTACTAAATCTTTCAAGCTTTCTTTTCTAATTTTTTTTCTTTTTAAATCAATAAATATCGTCTCTAATAGCCTTAGGTGGCTTACTAAGTAAAATAGATATATTTTTAATGGCTATATTTGCCTTAAACAAACGGGCAACTTCAGCTTCAAATTTTAGAAATTTTGGATCCATAGTGAGGAATTAAGAAATCACAAATTCAGGATAGAAAGAATCAAATATATAGTATATTATGACTAATCATGCTTAGTAATACACTAAACTTAATTTAGTAACTTTGTCTTTGGAACTTAATATTTAATTCTAGAGGGTTGCTAAAAATAGAAAAAAAACATGTCACGTGATCTTCTATATATAGACTATCACACATCTCAAAACTAAGCCTTTTCAAGTAAGGACTATTGTTTTACAATAAATGAAATTTTTATTATTTTAGTCTCCTATATTCTATAATTTTTCTCCGCTCAGAGCTGCTGACTAGGCAGGAGGTGGGCTCACTATGCCAAACTAGGAGATCTTGGCTTTCTAGATCTGCAATCCGTTTATTTTTAGCTATCTCTTCTAGCTAGATATAAAAGTTTTAAAATAACAACTTTTTAAGTGACGTTTTTTTCGTGTCACCCCTCTGTACTTAAATAGCCTTAATTTTTTTATTTTTTATTCTTTATAACCTTTTAACTTTACTATATTTAGTTAGTATACTTATATCTAGCGCTCCAATAGTCTCTTGAAGCTACTATCATAACTATAAATTTAACTTTACACTTCGTTTATAACGCTCTTCTTTATATATAGTCTTTTTACTACTATTAGGTTCTACTATCACTTTTTATCTATTTAGTTATTTTTACTTTTTTTATCCTTTTTATCTTTTTTATTATTACTTACTTCATTATTACTTTAATGCGTACTTTAGCTTTTCCTTTATTTACGCGTAATACTAGTAATAATAGTTTTAGTAAAAATAAAGCCTCTTTCTCTCTAAGTAGCGCTTTCACTACTACTACTACTACTAGCTTTTTTCTTTACTTTTACTAATAAGCCTGCCTTAGGCTTTAACTATAATTACTATGTAAATACTTTACGCTATAGCCTATATAGACTTATTACAAATTCTTTATTTTTAAGCGTTACTAAGCTGATTTTACTAATTTATTCTTAGAAACCTGATTTTTTATCTTTTTTTTATTATTCTTTAGTATATCTTTACTACCTTTTTTTATACTTTTTCTTATAATAGTTACTAATTCTAAAAAGCCTTTTATATAGTTAATATCTAAAAATAACTTTAGTATCTCTTTAACTGAGTATTATTATCTACTATAGTATTGTCAGATAAGTGGCAGAATCCGGGTGCGGACTCGAGCACCAGGATTCTGTGATCCCAACCAGTCAGGGCTGATCGCCAAGACCTAACCCTAGGCGAGGCTGATACTTAGCGGCCTACCTAATACAAAAAGCAATAGCGATAGCTCTTATAAGGGGCGCGCCCTCGCGCCCCTACAGACGACAGAACACACAACAACTCAATACACTCAGTTTCTATACTTAAGTTTATCACAGTCTTTTATCACAGTGACCCAAAAACAGTCCTTGATCAGAAACCCCTCATAGTCTGACAATTAAGAGTCTCACTGCCTTTACCAAGCCAATCAACATGAACGCGCAATCTTCTCCAATCAACGCAACCGTTATCTTACGCGACGAGAACGACTATCGCACCTGGTACAACCAGCTACAAGCCCGATGCGAAGCCTACAAAGTATGGGCCCAAGTCGACCCAGACTCAACAACCACGCCATTAGCAGAGCCATCTCAACCAGGGCTCCCCGATATCTCCGATTATACACCATCTTCAGCACTAGGAGAAGGAAGAGTGCCAGCCCGACTATCTGATCTATCCTCATCAGGGCAGAGAGCCTATAAGGACGATCTTGAAGTCTACAAACTCCAGATAGAGAGTTATAAGCTAAAACACGCTGCGTACAGACTGAATCAGCTAGCCTACACATATGTAGTGCTAGTTCA